ATCTGATAAGAGAGTTGCCATCGCAGCATTTATTCAAGATACCAAATTATCAACCCCAGAAACGTGCTCATGTGAATTAAGCAAAATAAAGCCAAGTGTTCTGATGACGAATAGAAGAAAACGGAGTTTGCGTAGCACATCTTTTCTTACATTGTTTTCGAGAATAAATGTTTACAGGCTTTCAACATCGGACGAAAGTTCCCATTACTACAAGAAATCAGTTCCTATCAACTCAATATTTCGGCACCCACACTAACCGAGAAGAGCCGTTAATTGACACTCAACACTAATCTAGTTTGTACAGGACTTACTGATTGGTTCCCCGTCTGTCTTATAACCTCGCCAATTTAGTGACCTGATCACTTGGCCTAACAAAGCTTTTGTGTCAAAAGCGAACATTGTCCAATTAAAAACTACTGATTGTTTACCAAGCTCTTCTGAATGAAAGTGGTCACTTTCCTATATGTTTTGTTTTTCACTAAACCATGGACAAAACTCTGCGATGCATGGATGAACACGACAAACACGAGCATTCAATATTTTGACCAGTGAGAGTTTTATCAAAAGGGAAACTCGGATAGCGAGCAGTGAAGCCTCAACTAGCGGACTAAAAGCAATCCACCACATTCATTATCGTATCACTCCAAGCTCGTGGTCGACAGCTTTTCGATAGAGAGGTTATCATGAAGAAAATCCCATGGAAGCCTCGGATGTCGATCGACGGAATATCCACAATGCGCGCACATACCTACAAACCGATAAACCGCACTGTCAGTAACAAGCCAGCTGGAGCAAAATTGCCACGCTTGGGGAACAGTTCGACAAATGAGGTCACTAATTCACCCGAACCTTCGATTGCGTGTCACCTTTAGCGAAAACTGTATCATACTGTAAACCACTTTGTCTCAGAGAGAAAAAAGGATCACAGAGGCAATTTCCTGCAACTAAATTCGATTCGCGATGTAAGGGTTTGCGTAGCTTGCCTATGTTTTGTTCATCTGAACAGACGTTTTTCTGCTTGAAATAAATGGCGACATTTGTTTCTGCATGATTGAAAAGCGTCAGGTCTACCTGTTTTATAGCTTCAACTCATGACGATTCTTTGGCACCATTTGACTTATTTGTAAACGATACTCGCAGTTTGGGCATACAGACGTCAGGATCAAAACGTCACACGTTAATCGTTTCTAACTTGAATGTTTTATTCGTTCGTTCGATCGCAGCTTAGATTGAAACAGTCTCTGATACTATGGGGAAATTCGAAAAACCAAATTGAATCTGCGATTGCTGAACTTCTCATGAGGCGGAACGCACGAAGAATATTGTAATCACTGCTGTATGATTGAGATTTGACTGATGTTAACGAATGTGTTGTATAAAAACATTAGTTTGGGTTACTGACTCGTGCCTTTGAGCGTCTTGATTAAACCTACACCTGGTCCTTTTGGCAGACTGTTTTCTACAATAAAATTTGCCGAGTCTCTTCCTGATATAATTACTGGTCAGTGGCGAGATCTTCGGATCAGCCTGACTTGGGCGCTGATCTGGCCTAGTACAACCGCACGACGTCGTAATTTGAGGTATATTAAACCATACTTGCAGTGGAGTTGGAGCAGAGATAACTCCATAGCTATTAACTATGTCATGATATCTTGTGTCCTGTCCATGTGTCTTATTCGAGCTCCGCTATGTGGTGACTTGTTCCCGCTTACTCACATACTGTAAAGGCTTGCGCAGTGTACTAATGCGTCTCAGTTATGAGTACTCAGACGAAATAAATTCATGGTAGCCTAACCAGAACTGCGCCAAACGCAGAAACCATCGAAAACTCCAGCGCAGAAAGCGCAGAAAGTGCTCCCTAGTCCAAGAAAGAAAATTTCTCCATGTCAACATCCTCCTACCTTCCATGGTATTGTTTAGATGAAGGAGAATTTTAAATTTAGAAATAGTGGCTGACAGAGTATGAAACAGTTCTCATACGATATGAGGGCTGCTAACCTGATAGTAGTAAAACTCCTCCAGTGAGCAAATGTAGCCATCCGAGCGATCGTTCGTAGATTGAGAGGGAACACCAGTTCACCAGAAGCACTGCAGTCAAGCCCAATCCAGCAGTAGCAAGCACCAGTCCGATGATCACTTGTGTTACAGTAAGCCGTCGAGATTCTAGGATGAAAAAATTGAGACGTATAAAGCAATCAGGTTAATAGCCAAAAAGAAACCCGGGCGAAAAAGAGTTTAGTTTGGTGAACAAAAACAGACCTATCATTTGCTGAAACGCTGATGTGAACTGACCAACCTCGGTCACCAATGACCGAGGATGAATGCATTCAATGACCTCGTGGGGCGCCAAGATCTCGTGGTGCTTTGGTCGTGAAAATAAATCAGAGTTCCTATTGAGGAATCGCAGATGGTCGGTTACTGCGTCGGACAACTTGATGACTCGGTGGTTAGGGCGCAAATTTACTGACCGGAAGGTCCGTGGTTCGAACCCGACCTCTGCCTCTCGACTTCCCCTGTCTAGGCTTGGGCAACCTGGCAGTATCCCAGCCCTCGTGCTTCCTTCGGGTGGCATAGCAGCTAGGCAGCGGAAGGATGTTAAAGCTGAACGGCTAAAAAGATTAGTACAAATATGTGTTCGCAACACAACCACTTAGCGGCTTTTCTACCACTCAGTCCGCTTGACTTGCACCAAAGCAAGAAACCTTTGAACTTGCTCTTGTCGGCGCATTATAAGCATGAGCTGCCAGTGTCTGACATTTGAGAAAATTGAGGAAACTCTAACACTTCTAAACACACAGCGATCCTTCAACGCACCTGAATAACGCTTTTGGTGTGCGAAACTCGATTCGGATGACTTCACTTTTGCTTACTTTGGTTTTACTAGTACATTCGTGCAGAAATGCGAGTAGGGCTGGCCAGCCAAGTGTAGTTTGGCGACGGATTTTATACACAGTTTCTCAAAAATCAACAAGCAAATTTTCTGGCAGGCTTCAGGTCACATTCACCGCAAACCAACCTGTACATTTCGGTAGGTAGGTAGGTCGACAAAATCACTCCAAAAGCCAATCAATGTATGACCACTTGATGTGGTTTTCGTGATTCAAGGATGAGTTACGCTGTGTTCTGTCTAAGTGAAAGCTGCACATCAGTCACTCCGGTCCAGACGGTTAAACATCCAACCACTGGTCCGAAGGCTGCGGGTTCAAGACTCTGAGTTTCGTGAGATGTACACTATTGGTGATTTCCCAAAAGGGGAAAACAGCTGTGTAGTGCTTTTCATCATAGATTGACTTCACTGATAGGACGACATTTGTTTCGAAAATCAACGTAGTCACCGGGTCGTCGTTCGAGGCACCAGGCGAACTGATGGCATCATTCAAAGGGTAAACATCTTTGCCTTTCCAGATATGACAAATCACGCAGGTCCAGCGTTCGCAGAGGGATTAATAGTATCACAATCATCTCACTAACACCAACACGACCAAAAATATGCATCACTGATTGGCTTCAAGAAGTGTGAAGTTCGAATCCTGACTCTCGCTATGATCTACACGGAAAACTCGTGTAAATAAAGAAGGATGACATTCAGAATGGGAGTTTGCATCGTTCCCAGAAATCAGCATCAGCTTACACCATGAAGCTGCACGCACGCTGATGTGGAAAGCCTTTCATTCAAATACTTGTTTCTTCTACAGGGTTCATGAAGTTAATGTGCTGAAATAAGCATCTCTGGATGTCACTGTTCAACTTTTGGACAACTTACTAGTAAAAAACTCCCTCAGTCAGATCTCACCGTAATCAGAAAGTTGAGAACCAGTGGCAAACAAGTGTGTTTCACTAAGGTTGAGTGATGCTAATTGAGAATTGTTGAAAGCCCTTTCTATGGGACAGTACCCTTCGCTGATCCTATGAATTGTCAGCTATCTATTCGACTTTTAGTGCCTTCAAGTCAATTCATTTAAGGTATGCTCATGTGAATTTGGAAGACAGCTTGTGAAACCAGCTGCTTTCAGGTGACTAGAAATTATCTAATTAAATCTGCCAGCGATAGAATTATTGTTAGCTAATCGGTGTCGCTAAACTATTTTGCGGAATACTTGAGTGAAACCATTCTGTAGTTAGAAGCGGAAAACCAGATTGCACTGACCGGACTGTCTTAGTCACTTCTAAAGCTCGGTTGGCCGATTTACTTGGAAGTCAGGGCCAAAAGGCCAGCAGTGAATCAGTGCCCCCCCCCCAACCGCCTCGACTGAAATGCAAGGAAAGAGGGTTGATCACTGTGGATTTTTAGTGATCGAATTCAGACTTGTACACTGAATTACACATCATGCCTCCTCGGGTTTGCCTAACCTATAATTCCGCCAGAAAACCAGCATCTTCGTCGGCAGGAACCAACGGTTATACGCTGCATATGGCTGAACTCGCACAGCTGGGATGAGATAATTAACTGTCAAACCACACCTACCCGTTTGCGAAGTCCACGATAACATCCTATGTTTATATCAATCCCGATACAGAAGCATCCAGGGAATTGAAGTGAATTCGCACACTTTTTTTGGACACCTTTATCTCTCTGACCATACAACAACGCAGTCCATATTACAGATTGATGAGCACTGATGACATCCGTAGTAGAGTGCAGAGCATCTCAAACCGTATGCAATGGTCCCAGGGGTTCAATAAGGGGTCCTACAGTGGCTTTCCCTATCATTCGTACACAATTCTTTGGAATAAAATCCTTTTCCCAGTATAGTCCAAGATTCTATTTTCTCTTAGTACTTTCCAACCGGTGGGTAGATTACCATACTAGTTCTCCGTCCGCTGGAACTTTGCAGCTCCCCCACTATTCCGTTTAGCGGTCAGACAAAAATTAACTCTGCTTAATTTATTGCCGATCATTCATTGTGATTCATTTCGTGCCAGTAGGGAAATACTATTGACGAAAGTTTACCACCCATTTCCTGCATGGGTATAATTTGAGTACTACTGTAACGGTGATACTACTGATGGGAGAGGCATGCTAGTAATATATTTTCTCGTAAATCCGCTTTGCGTCTCTTGAAAAGTGAGGTCGGTTGCGGAATTTCTGGAGTCGCTTTGTAGCATTTTCCTGGATTTAAACAACAGTTAACGAATATCCAGGAAATTTCAGGAAAACGCTTTCAAAGAGAAGATGGCTATTTGGTTTTTGTAAACAAGACGTATATGACAGCTTCCCTGTCCAATAGTCTGTTCGGTTGGCATTGTCTGATGAATAACTCTGTAGCGAAGGCCTTCTTCCTTTCACTACTACAAAGGTCAGTTTGCCGCCTAACGGGGAAAATTCTGTGGAGACTGTGGGGAAAACACTAACCGTCATTCCTAACAGTTTGCGGGCAGATTCCATTACTCAAACCAGCTGGTATGCGTTTTCCATGGCTGTACGCCCCACGAGACAGCCCTAACCTATGTAGGTGCACTTCTCCATAGAATACTGTGTTTCAGTGGACATGCAACACCTTTTTTAAACCTCTTCTCTCCTTATTCCCCATTAGAGCTCCAAAAGCAATTTTGGGCTGTACTGAATGCACAATTGACCTTCAGCTCTCGGATAAAACTGGTTTATACCGGCAATGTCATCTCAGTTTGCCAATAAAAGTTTACCACAGAAGTTACAATGTCAGTTGAACATACGTCGCACAGAAGACTCTCAGTACATCTCCCCAGTGCTCTGGCCTCGTACTCTGAATATACGGTCCCCCCTTCTCGTAACAGTTTACCGTCAGGGGAATAGTGTCACTATAGGCCCGCGCTTGAGCGAGATTTCACCTGAGATATATATGGACAAACTAGAGAGTACTATAGTGAGCACGGTAACTTGTTTGGAAATGGGTTAACGATAGATAGATGCTACATTTCAGTGTATGGCTCAAAGACCGGTCGCATAGTTATTTTGGAAACGCTCAATAAACTCACCATTCCACAAGATTTACACGTGAAGGTGAGCGAGGTGATGAACTGCGCTTTGCACATGTACTACTCAGCTGTCGTGCAGATGGAAGCATGAGTCGTGGAAATCAACTTGTTGGGCTGGCATAACAATATTTCAAAGCTCGCTCCCGAAAGACGTTGAAAAACTTTGGCGGTGTTTTTTGTGAAAGGACAATAGGAATATATACTGAAGGCAGAGTGTAACCGTCATCTGAACTAATCTTTCGTGAGCTTCATAACGTTTATTGACACTAGCCATCCTGACAAGTTCACGGGACGCAGAAGCTAAGGTAGAGCACGTACCACGCAATTGAAGCCCATCTATCTGGCGCTGATATATCAGGAGACTCATGCGGTTGTTCATCTGTGAACATTCAGCTGGTCCGCATGTAGCCTACATCAGCCATCTTGCAATCACACAACAGTTGAAAGGCCGTATACCTTTTCTATGCTCCTCGGGTGCATCGGCTGTGTAGGTCTGCCGGTCTTCGTTCGTATGGGACTCATCAGACTGGTCGGACAAATAGATCATTGTCTAAACAAACATTTGAACACATTCCATCTTAGCTAGTAAAGGGCCTTGTGCACCGTATAGGCAACTCGATAGATGCAAGATACACGGTGCATGCCTTCTAAGTCATCCAAGGCTTGCGAGGATCTGGATGATGAACAAAGCTGAAGCTGTCGGCATCCGCACTCCAAGACACAATTCGTGTAGATGTAGGTGTATCCTAGCCACAACTGTACAAACTCCTGTCTGTAGAAGGACAGATTTGGCTGAACAGCGGAACAGCCTCAGTAACGCCAACTGAAAGCGCGATCCGTCCGTCGCTGTTCTGAGCACTTGGCCCTTGTGTATTGATTTTTGGCCCATTAGTCTTGATGATTATTTATTTGTCGAGGGATTCACTTTGAAATGTTAAAAGGGGCCGCTTCGTTTGAATGTCTCTTTAAAATCAGCCTGTGGGACAATTCCACATAACAGAAAGTTGAGTTTCTTTGGACTGGTATCAACATCACTCCGATAGTTCTCAGATCATCCAATGAACCAGAATAAGAAAGTAGAATACATCCATGAAACTGCATTTGGATTAATTAGGTTTGATGCATTTCTGTACCGAAAGAAGCTACGCTCATTTTCCCATGCCAATCAGTGTGAAATATATTTTCTAGGTTGAAGAGAACTGAATGAACCAGGTGACAATGGCAGAATACATTCATTTTCAAACAAATTTGATTTTGCGGGAGACTCGCCTGGAAACCAGCTGAGTTCCTCGTTTATGATATTTCCAAGCAGCTGAATGTGCTGTACCAGACGGCCTCATGTTTCAGTTGGTACGATATTCCAGGTATCGCGAAACATGCCCAAGCGTAATGACTACTTAGCGATCTTATGAGTGGTGTATTATGTCTAGACAGGTTTTTTCAGGTTTTTCGAGGTTACCCGGCGTCGTCTGCCCATAAATGTGTGTTTGTGCTGGTGGTGGTGATGAAGTGAATAAAGTTTAAACCTTTCACAGGATGTGTACTTCCTTCGTGAAGGTACTGAGTTCAAGATAACCCATGAGCAACTGGCGACCGCAACAAAACAAACTGTCTATTCTTGTCCTAAAAAAGTGATTTTTTGAATACCTGACCCTGGAGAGACTTTTACAATTTCCATGCATCCACTAATCATATTTCTGGTGACATTCTTCAGTTGCTGGCAACTTTTCAGCGGTACCAAATACTTGAAGGTATATTTATTTTTTATATTTATTTATTTATTTATTTATTATTTTATCGAGTACTTTTACGAAAGGCACTCCGAAGCAGCTTGTGTGCTCCACACCACGCGGAAATATATCAGTATGCTGTTGACGACAAAGGATTCTATCGCGTCTTAGGAATTCCAACATTCGTATGGGTTCAGGCGTAAAAGTCTCGGTTGTCGTAATCTATTCACCGGAATTTGATGAGCTCCGTCAAATTATAATTGAAAGCATACTAGTATATCAGTAATGGTCTACCATAACCTTTTCTAAGAGGCATAGATCAGGTTGACGTTCGGTACACACTATCGATCGTATTAAGTCACACTTACCGATAATCTCATTGTAACCAGGATCCTTCCAGCCGGAAAACCGTTCATCACCACCGTAGTCCCGACCGATGCATTTCAGACCGGGTCTATCCACATACATATCCACTAAATACCAATGAAGAAAGATGGCAGCATTGTTGAACTTTTGTACACACTATGAAAAATATGCGCTCGCTGCCTTCTGAAACTACAAGAGAAACAAGTCAGTCAATAAGTTCACATACAGTATTTACAGTTGGTTGTTGATATCTAGATCTGCGTTTCTGTGAGTATCACAATGTTCGGTAAAAGACAGTTTATTAGCAACCTTGGGGCTATTCGCTCTATGGTTGTACAGAATCAGCAACGCTTGTATCAAATATACGTGTTCCTGTGTGAACGAGCTTCAAAAATCAAGTATGAATCCAGACGACAAAAACACGGCTATCCCACATCGTCCACTAAGTAGAACGATCTTAGTTTAACATTCACATCAGTAAAAAATGCGGAGGAGAAAGAAGTAGAAACCTTCCTTGGCTGAAGATTCATTTGTGTAAGTTCATTATGTTAACTAGGTCCTCTTACTAAGTTGCAAGAATCATGCGTGTCCTAATGAATTGCGTGGGAATTCAGTTAGCTTAGCTGTGTTACTAAGTGTGTGAGAAAATGTGTTCCAAAGTCATGGGCGTGTTTTATGGGTTGGAATTAACGGAACCTCCAAAGTTTAATTCAAAACCGTTTGAGGTGTATGAATAATTGTTGGGGGCTTCTGACGATCCTTCAGACTCCTCTTGAGATGCGTATTATTATGCGGGTTTGTTATCGATCGTACAGAGACATCGTGCAAGCTGATTCACACCCTTTCGGGTGTAGCTCTCCTTGGCCTTCTAGACCGTCCTCTGTGACTCCCTTGATACTAGGAGAATGCGACCCCGGTCAGGGGTTTGACTAACACCTGTTCATTTGACCAATCCTATAGTGCGCGTCTGGTTGGCGGTCCCTGATCAACTGTTGAGTTGCAGATGGCTCAGTGATTAGAGCACGAACTTACTGACCAGACGGTCCGTGGTTTGGATCCCATCCAGGCAACTCGACTTCTCCTGCTTGGGTTTGGTCAACCTTATAGGATCTCGGCCATCGGGAAACAAGCCAACTAGGCACCGAAAGAGCGTTACAAATGAACTTTACAATTGGACGTTACAACCAAGTTTTGAAGGAGACAGGAAAGATAAAGAACGAGAGCTTTCATTCACACTACTTATGGAATTTCCAAATCATTAAATCGTGCAAAAGGACACGTCCAAGTGTGACCACGGGTCCTATTTCGCTCTTCATACTGATTCGTTTTCAACTCCACTCATTTATTATGTATACTGGATTACGTGATAAACGAAGATAGCAAACGCAGTTATCGAAATTCCCGAGGATGGGTCCTAATTGGGGAAGCGTTTGGGCACTTTTTGCCGTTTTCTTATCAACAAAACTTTGCACAATCAGGTGACAAGTACCCAACGGTGAAGGCCTTTGAGTGTTTTGAAGGAACCAGCTTTGCATGCGCCCGGGCGAATAACAAAATAATGAGTTATTTCGAATGATATTAGCTGGCGAGCGTTATAATTTCTATTGTTTCCAACAGAAATGTTGAACGTATACGCAGAATTAGTCATTCTTCATGAACCTCGTCTTTCTGGGAAGCGCCAGAGACAGTTCACCGGTCAAATAAATAACTAAATGAATAAACATTGTTGCAAGTAAATTGGGGTGCTGTCTCCGGAAACATGCTGCTCCCAAGCATCTGCAAGTAATCTCCTGTTTTATTTTGCCAAGCGATCGCAAAACTTTGCAACGGTTAACGAATAGAACTCTGAGTGGACGCGAAGTGCAGAAAATGCCTACATTAAAGAAGTTGCGGAACTTCCCGTCTGTTCACCTGTGTTTGGGGCTCATCAGGTTCGCGTAAGCTGCGGTTCTCTAAACAAGACAAACCGGTGGTAGGCTTTCAACAACTTTGATTCATCGTGGCATACCACCCGCAAGAAATCAGTTTGCTAAATGAACCTTTCGACTGCTTACTCTGAGCCACTATGTATGCTCCCGGTATTCTCAAGTCTGTAGGTTTCATTCAAGTTTAAATGTAACTACGTTCGATGTCAGGAGTGATTTTCAATTCAATTCACCTACAGTTGCAGTGCTCGTTTTGGGGACGGTCGAATAAAACTCTTATTATCAAGATTCTGGAGCATCTCGCGTTATGATTGCATAATGAGGCCATCAGACAGACACTTGGTGAAGCTCCGCTACCATCGGTTACAGGATATGTCCTCGAAACTATGTTTTCCGTTTACGTAACTCCCCGTTCAGATGCACAGTAATTGGTCGTTAACAATGACAGGCATTGAATGTTTATCAATTTTCAGGTACATGCAACCACTCTACGTCCAGAAGCGTTCAGAAGTCACGCTACACTTTTCCTGGCTTAAACAAATGAGTAAAATTCCTTCAGAATAACGCTGGGCTTGTAAGTAGTATATTTAACTTCATGTGTTGTTCGTTTTCTTAGACTGCATTGTATGTGTCGGGGCTAACAAAGCTATGAAGTCGTTTCACTGTCCACTGTTATATTCAGATGAATGGAAGGAATACAGTGTTATGTGGTTTAAAATAATCTTGTTACGCCTCAAAATTTCGACCATAACTTTCAACCGTTGGTCGTTCGATCACACCGAAAACATTATAAGTTTCCCCCGTATGCTTGTAACACCCATACGAAGATCCACTTTTGTTTGGTTTTCGGTTTCAATTGAGCATCAAGAGGTTGTACATTAGAAGTAACTGCGATCAATCAACCTTATGTGAAAATGGCATGCAGTAATTTCCAAAACTGCATGCTGCTGAGCAGCTTTTGAAAAGTGAAGTTAAAAACGATTGGTTGCAGGCAGTCTCGCTCCGTCTAACCGTCACAGCTCGAATTTTCATCGCGCCAACAATTTTGGTGTTGCGTTTTGTAAAATGGAGGCCTGTTAAAAATGCTACCATAACCACGAATGGTAGCTCAGGTAAGATTGATTCCACACCGTTCCAAGGATGTCGTGGTGACACTGGTCTCGTCATGTGGCTGAACAAAAGAGTGCACAGCCTGTGGCCACACACTGTGCGATAACCATTCGTTCTATTTCACGCTGAACTTATGAGGTCAACTTGTTCTTGAAGTCTTATCTTTCTGACCACGAATGTCACTCGTCTGGCCAGCCGATGTACGTGGCGTTTGTGCTGTACGTTTCCATCCAGACTGTCCAACTGTGTGCCGGAGGTGTGGGCGCCGCATACCCACCCTTGTTTTAGGTTAGCCTTAGGTAGCCTCCTCACCCCGATTATCTCCTCTTTCCATTAAAGGGCTCTATTAAAATGAATTCACTTGTTTGCATGGTAGCGAAGCACCAATGTTCTATTCAGTCAATCACGTCAATGATGATCGATTGAGTAGTCTGGAAAATAGGCATTTGTAGGCTTTCCAAATCACACTACAAATCATTAATTAATTAATTGACATGCACTGGTAACTTAAATTTTATGCAGCAAGTGTACAGCAAAAAACGTGGATCGAGACTTTTTGAAAGAGGTTTTGCCTGGACTGTAAACACACTCGGGCTCAAACACTGCAGACCTTGGTTTTTTTCGATCCACACTGGACCAGCCGATCGGTGTGGTCTTTGTTCCGAAGTATTCACTGATCCCACGGGGGCATCGCTGTGAGGTAAGCTGCGGCGGTGTTGCTCAAAGGTGAGCCTGTGCAAAGGCTTGGCCATGTCCTTTACTTCAGACCGGAAGCTGATGAGTTCACCTCGTGCATCCTCCACAGTGCTGGACAAAGCTGTGGGGATGATAGTTGACAGGGCACCAATTGATCCTATGCCAACAGTCGGCCAGCAGTGAATAACATTTGCACTAGCTCCGCGCCATCAACTATTGAATAAATGCGGGAACACGTGGCGGCAAACTGTTTTCGGATTACCGGCATTTTTCCCTATTAAGCAATTTGAAGTTTGATTTCGACTTTATCTTCAATTTGCTGCTAGTCCGTTCGTAGTTTCAGATTTGGCCATAGTTACCAGTGTTGAAGCTGTAAATTCCACTGTCGGGGACGAGACGACTCAGAGCGCGAATTTACTGACCGGAAGGTTCATGGTTTGAATCCCACCTCTGCATCTCGACTTCGCCTGTCTAGAGTTGGGCATTACCCCTGCCCTCGTGCTTCCTTCGAGCGGAATGGCAGCTAGGCACCGAAAAGGTGTTACAACTGAACCATTTTTATAGTTTATCAACTTACACCGTTTCAATGTTAACCCGAATGCCATAAAATAAATCATGTGATCACCATAGAGCATTTACAACGTTTGGACCTACTTGGGTCTTCTGAGAAGCACGTGTGGAAGAATCCTTCTCTTCTTGGTAGGTGAACAATGCAAGAGACATTTGGAGGTGCATGAGTGTAGCATGGTTTTTGGACAACCAGCCCTTGCCAGATCAATGAAGCGATAATCAGCGTAATGGCTGCCAATGTGGCCAAAGCCGCTGTCACAATAATAACTATGGCGGCTATTCTTGAGGTAGTTGCAGACGGCATTTGTATTAGGAATATGAGATATCCTTCGGAAAATCTGTTGGTATGAAGTGACGAGCATTTGAATGATTATTGGGTGCCATTCATCAGTATA